AAAAAAAAAAAAAAAAAAAAAAAGTACCTCACCTGGGACTTCATTATTTTCTGCTCTCTTCTAAAAGGGCAGATGCCTGAAAAAGCAAAACCAATGATTAGAAGGATGTTTTCACAGACCACACCCAGACTTCAACTTTCATGTTTACCAGTCGAGAAACAACACCAGAAATCAGGTGGTTAACAGTCCAACCTGTGGGAGAAGGTTGTTTTGTCCTTACAGAAGGGTCAGAAAGCACTATGTAAAGGAAGTTCTCTTCTGACTATACTATGATCATACAGAACTTGGACAAAGTTTTTTAATTGTATAGATGTGAACATAGATTTCATGCTGATTTACTAACAACTGACCTATGAACCAGCAATTCTGTTTTTAGAATGTGTTCATAAAGCAACAATCATAGATAGATATATAGATTTAACTGCAGATGGAGCTTCCTGGCAATAAGAATGGCAATGACCAAATGGAAAACTGAAGAATGTTTTCCATTTTCCCTTATTCCCCAGAAAAAAAAACAGCAACTGAATTCCAGTAATTTCCCAAGAGCTCTTTATATTTTGGCAAACTTGGCAAACTCTCCTGCCAATCAGTATTCATGGATCAAATATTAATTTTGAGATGTTTTCTGCTTAAATTTTTATTGCTCATTTTCAAAAGTGCAGTTGTCTCTACATAAAAATGGTAATAAGCTGGAACCACTGATGCAAGTGAATATCCTGCAGTGTAGTAAAGTACATACCTAGTAAATTTTTCTCAGTCTCAGGAGTACTCATGCAGACAGGACTGAACTGGTTCAAAGGGGTCACTGATCCCATAACAGGGAGGTTGTTTTCTATGGGGTATTACAGGTTTTGTCAAAACAGATCTGGAAGGAAGCAATCAAGAGAAACAGTTACACTTACTTCTGGGCACCCAGCAGGTGCTCAATGTTTCTTTAAAGTATCCCATTACTGCTCTCTCCAAACATGAATCCGTGGGCCTTGCAATCACACACCCAAAGAACTCCCCCCAATGGCTATCACATCACTGACCACCACATGGAAGCCCCCAACATTTAGTGGAAAGCCACCTCACCAATCACTGATTCCCCAGAGTCTCCTAAGTCACTGACTCATCCGCACCAATCAGTCCCGCTACATGTCACTTCTGATCGGGACAGCCCTATCACTGACACATCCTTCCCCAGTTACTGATCTCATAGCTCACGCAACCCTGACTCCCACATAGACCCCACACTACTTACTCCCACATACCTTCCCCACCAGTGACTTCACAAACCCCCCAGGACTGACCCTCAGGTCCCCTCCCGTACAATCAGATTCACTCATCACCGCATACATCCACCTTCTGACCTGTGGCTCCGTTACCAGGTCCCGAAATGCCCAGGATCGCTTCACCGGGTACGGCTGTCACATCCATACTGGCCATCTCTCCCGCTTCCTGTCTGGGTGGGCAAACCACGAGGCTCTCGAGCCTGCGCTCGTACCACCCGGCGGTTTTGCCCACTCCGCATCCTCCGCCGCTTTGTCCAGGAGGCAAGATGGCGCCCCCGGCCGCAGGGTCCGCCTGGGAGCCGCCATGTCGAGCCCGGCCAGTTCCGTACAGGAGCCAGAGGCTGCCTGCTCCGCCGAGGCGGGCGGTGTAGGGCGGAAGGTGTGCGAGCCTGGACGCTGCACGGTGTTGAGAGCTTTTCAGGAGGATCGGGGAAGAAGTTGAAGGGACACATCCTCTGTTAGAAGACTGCATTTGGTGAAAGAGGAAGAAATCGGAATCGTAAAATAGTTCTCATTGGCAACTGTACTTAAAAGTGATTGCAAATGATACGGATCTATGCCCGGCGAGTCCACTGTGGGCAAAAAGGCACCAAAGTAATGGGAACTTTGGTGGGTGGGTAGGCGGGGGCGGAAAAGGGGAGTGCTACGCACGGTAATAATGGACTTCATATTAAAAACGATTATAAGGTATTTTCTGGGAAATAACTACTGCAGTAATAACTTGCAGAGGCCAACTTAAGAAAATAGAAAATTGAGAAACAGGGAAGAAGAGTCTGAGGCACATGGGCAGAGACCTGGGGAAACTAAAGAGCAAAACGGGAGGTAAAGGAACAGGCGTGGGACGCTAGCGGACAGGACACGGCGGACTTGAGAGATCGGAAACACAGAAGGAAAAAAAACCGAAGAGGAATAGAACGAGGTTAGATTTCAGGAAACTTGGTTTAAAAAAAAAACACAACCTTTAGACTTTACAGCAAGATTTTATACTTTCAAAAAAATGCATGTTAACAAACTGATGTTTCATGTACATAGATAAAAATTTTAATAATAGTTTCACAGGAGCCGTGATTTTTGGCTTATGTAATTAAGCAGAAAATTTACATTTAGCAGTTTTATTTCTCTTGTCAAACAAAACCAAATCTGAATTTAGATAAGATTTTGTTCAGAAATATTGCAAAAGGGAGAGCACGCTGTAAGTCCGGAGAGAGGAAATCCCAGGGCAAAATACCTCTAAAAACCGAAATCAATCAAAGGGAAAAATAAAGTGTAAAACCCGTTTATTCTCACAAACTGCAGTCCCAGGGATGTCTTTCTCCCCTAGTCGGGAAGAAGCCAGCAGAAGCAAACAAGCCAGCCCCCTCCCCCTAAGCTCTCAGGTTCAGACACGCCCTCAGTTGCCCAGGTAATTACCCATTGACATGGAGATGAACTTCTCTCCCCACCTGAGGATATGCAAATGTACTAAAGCCAGGAGAGATATTCTGGAAATGTTACAATGTTACCCACAGGCTGCCCCTCCAGAAATCTCACTTTATAATCTACTCATTCCCCTTCTTCCACAATGGTCCCTGGGAGAGAGAACTGGAGCATTGTGACCAGACTAATGACATAATAGCAGCGGCAATAAAATCATGACAATCCTCAAGCCAGAGAATTCAGCTAGGTTCAAAGTCTTACCCACATTAAGTCCATAGCTTGTCCATTCCAGAGGCAGGCAGTAGCCGAGGGCATCAGGCTGCGGCTGTGCTAGAGAGCACATTCAGGCCAGGACTGTAGGAGACAATAACCTTAAGGGTGATAAGATACATGTTTTAATGACACCAGTGAAGGGTCCCCACCAGTAAGATGGCAAACTTCCGGCTTCTCTTCAGGGTCCTCCGTTCCCGCCGGCACCACCTGAAGCCCAATCACCTCTCGCCCCCCTCCCAATCCCAGCACCTAGCCAACAGCCAACAGCCCCGTAGAAGTAACACCACAATCACCCTATGCCCTTTCCTATATAGCCCAGCACCTTTCCCTAATAAAGCGGAATTCTCCGGTGAATTGCTGCTATATGTCGCTCCTTTCGTTTCATTGGTGCCAAAACCCAGGAGACGGGACACCCCAACTGGGCCCCGTCTTCCCCCCGACACCAGCAGCAGCTTGCCCTCGTCCTCTTTTTCCGGCGCTAGCTCATCACACTCACCACTCCTCTCTGGCCTTTAGGTAAGTTTCCCCCACAGAGTGGGCCACTCTTCCCCGAGCTATCACAGTGCCATTGATGGTGATCATCCGGCAAGGCCCTGATGCGCGGGGACGAGGAGGGAACTCTCCCCGCCTCAGGCCTTCACGGCTGCAGTGGACCCTCAGGCCCCTCCTCCAACAGCCATAAATCCCCGCCTCAGGCCTTAAACTTTTTAAGCAAAATTTCCCCGGGTGGGCCACTCTTCTCCTAGCTATCGCAGTGCCATTGACTGTGATCTTCCGGCAAGGCCCTGACACTCGGGGAGGAGGAGGGAACTCTCCCCGCCTCAGGCCTTCACGGCTGCAGCAGACCCTCAGGCCCCTCCTCCGATAGTCATAAATGATAGTCATAAATGCACTCACCGTCCCTTCCATCTCTTCCATCAGTGCCAAAACTTTTTAAGCAAAATTTCCCCGGGGTGGGCCACTCTTCCCCGAGCTATCGCAGTGCCATTGACCGTGATCGTCC